CCCTACAAAAGCACTGTAATCAAATTGCCTCTGATCTTCTTTCTTATAAGCTAAGAAAGCTGCCTGATGGGTATTTTTCAAGGATGGCTGACTACCTCTAACTGTGTGCTTCCTATTGTGTTTGGCTGCCCAGAAAGGACCCATTGTACTAAAGTGCCTGGTGAAAGAAAAAGATGAAACTAGGAAAATGAAAAACGGAATGATTCACGGTCTGGTTTGAATGCAACACACATAGTAATTAACAGAATGGATGGCACAATGGAGATCAACATGACTGCAGCAATCAGTCTCAATAACCCAAGGTGTTAGTACTGGATGCAGTCATATTTTTTATATGATTCTGGCCTTGGCAACACCTCTTTCAACTATAAAACAGGTTCTACTAATATTTTCCATATTCCTCACATACTAAAAATTTTTAACGCAAACACCACCAAATGGAAACTTAGCTATTCTAGGACAGCCATGGGGAAAGAGCTCCTTCAGATATAATCAGAAAATCCTTTTCCATTAGCATTGCTCAAAAAATTACCAACTATTGATAGTCCTATTGATGTTTTCATACTAGGCCTTGTATCTTCCCAACCACTTGTAAGCAGCACTGCATGGCAGCACTGGAGACTGTGAAGCATAACATTTTCTTAGCAATCACAGTTCTTTTAAAAAAGATTATTCAGCTAAAGCCAAGGAAATCTTACTTTCCTCTCCCCGTTTTTCTGCCCTCAGATCCCAAAAACTGGAGAAACCGTTATGGCTGGAACCATTTCCAAGAAAAAGATATTTGAGATCTTTGCTGATCCACAAGCAACAGTATTAAGCTAGTAGCACTTTGCAGCCATATCATTCTTGTGTTAAAGCTTCCCTTGATGATAAAACAGACCAGAGGTTCATGAGAACACAATGTCTTCTAGGAGCGTCAGTTAGGGACCATGGTGTGGTGACATGAAAAGGCTTGTGCTGAAAACACTTCAAACAGCAAGAACATGGAGATTACCCTCATTTTTAACAGTCTCATCAAAAGGATACAGCCCACAGTTCTGAAAATCTTGAGACTACTTTGAACAACTAAAACCCCTAAAAGCCTCAATTTCCTTTTGGGGGACCAAAACTTCCTATTTATTCTTTTGTAAGAGATTTCCAATTTGTCTTACTAGCTTAAAGTCTGCCCAACAAAAGAAGTTGTCTTTCTCCACAGCTGTTTAATCATCCAGTGACATTTCGTACTCTTGAGGACAAGATTCAGAAAGGGCCTTGGCATTGTTCGGGTTGTAAGGACATATCTCCTTATGTCTCCTCCTGATTTTGGAAAGGAAGGGTTTAGGGTCTAAGTCATTCCAGTGGTCATAATGATTTCTATCTCCAATATATGGCACAGAAGGCCACCTGGTCACACTAATTCACCCTTGCACTGCCTCAAGAAGTATGTGGCAGAGCTCATATGGAAGACGAACTAGGTCACATGAGCTGTAGCTTTGTACTGACCTTTGAGGAGCACTGTTAACAACTGGCTGCCACCTGGACTTCGTATCACTGATCCCACTCCTTTGGGTTCAGTTTTCCAGTCAACGTTCCGTTCACCATGCACACATTCACTCCACATCTCCACAGCCTGGCTCTAAGGACACTATAGGAGACTGTTTTTAGCAAAAGCTTTGCTAAAATCCACGTAAGTAACTTCCACTGTTTTTCCTTCAAGCACTACACCAGTTATCACATCAGGCACAACACGCCTTTTGTAAATCTACAGTGGTTCTTGCCAGTCACCTTTCGGCCATGGATGTTCTTGGAAATGGTTTCCAGGAGGATGCAGCTAATAAGCTTCCCAGCAATGTTAGGCTGACAGCCTGTAGTTACTTGGATTCTCCTTCTTGCCCTTCTTGAGGAAGGGGGTGACGTTTGCCTTTTTCCGGACATCCGGAAAGTTCCCTGATCATCAACTTTCAAAAATGACAGCAAGTGGCCTTGCAATGACATTAGCCAGTTCTCTCAAACAGAGCTGGATGCATCCCATTTGGATGGGATGTTCTGTGACACTTGTGCACATCTAGTTTGCTTATAGTGTCTCTAGCTTCCTTTCCATTTACTGTGGGTAGCACTTCACCCCCTGAAATAGTAACAGGGACCTGGAAGGCCTGAAAGCAACCCTTGCTAGCAAACACTGAGGCAAAGAAGGCTTTGAACACCTCAGCATCATCTTTCAGAAGTGAAAGGCGGTCTTCTAAAGCATCCACAGTGAAAAGACTTTCTTTTAAAGGCAGCCTCATAAACAAGTAATGTTGTCTGTGACTGGGATCAATATTCCTAGAGTTCAGCGACTGGATTTGGGCAGTTGTCAAAATTTAATTTAATGAAGGAGTCCAGGAATACTCAACTATCTTATTTTGATTAACTGGGCTTCATACAAGACCCAGAAGATAACTCTCTGCACGCACTGGTACTGTTTGTGTCCGAAGTCCTGCAAAAATGGGTAAGTCCGAACAGCCCCACTTACAGACTTCAGGAATGAAAGACCTTAAAAAGCATCAAGTGCCTCAAGAACTTTATGTAACATGGGGAAGCCAAATCTAGATGTAGGCACTGAGCTTAAAGTATTGAAACCATAAGGGTTGAATGCCCACAGCTCTGTCTGTCCCTTATGGGAATTCAGAGGATCGGGCCTGACATTTCTAACTCCTCATTACCAACAAATCCGGTTTGACTATCTTCACAGAGAGCCAGCAGTGCTGATGGGAAGCGACTGCCATCATGCACTGCAGACACATCTCTTCGGACAATCTAAATTGTTCTTTGCAAGGCTGGTGTAACCGATTCTGCGCTGGCCACTCATGACAGCAAAGTAAACTAAATGCAGGTTTCCCTAGGACTGAGGTAATGCATTCCTGGCAGTGCATGATCTGGCATTTGGGCCAGTGGGAAAAATAACCTCCTCTTCGCCATCCTCCTCCCTCCCCTTCGCTCTACCCTACCGCAGCTGTCGCCGCAAACAAACAACAACATTGTCAAGATGCAAGGAGTTGTCAGTTTACATCAGAAGGAAGGCGGTGACACGACATGTCACATTACAGCACAGACACTCCAGCTGGCTGTAGAGCTGTCATCATTAGCAGCACGACACCATTGGGAGGCGGTGTAGCTGGAAGTCGGTGCAGACAGGCATTTGCTCGTTTTGGGTCTCTGTTTAAGATTCTGGAGCACAACCGACTGTCATACCTGATGTAATGTGTCATGTGCTGTTTGCGCATCCCAGGGTATCTGATTTCATGTTTTCTTTTCTGCTTCTGCATAACCAAATGCAATTAAATCCATGGTACGTTTCTTGATGAAGCAACTCAAGCAAGCTCAGGAAAGGAAAATAAGGAAGTCTTAGGGTAGTCAGTCGGTCTTAAGTCATGTGAACCCTCTGTCACCCACTCTTAAGTACTCCAACTACCCACAGGCAAGCTGGTATAACCACCGAGCACCGCTCTGGGATCACAGCTCCAGCCTCGAAGACAGACAGCTACAGCAACAAGGTTCTGTCCAGCCCCATTAGCTCTGTCTCCTCAGGAGCCAGAGGACGATGCCACACTGAATGAGAATATACTGCTACGCTCAGAAGTCACTCCAAAACTTGCTGTCCCAGCTCTGAGACTGTAGTGATCCATTCTGTGGCTTGATAAAGTTGAAAGGTGCTGCTTGACTCAGCTGAGGTTGCTGCCTCCCGGGGCAGCCATCACACAGGACATGTGCACAGCCTATGACTGGCTGGCCAAGATAAAGTACAAAACCTCCTCGCTGGAAAACAGTGGAATACTTTCATCTGCCAGGCTATGTAGATATCATGTAGCAGGCTGACTGCCTGGCTGAATAGGTGGGAGGAAGAAACAGGAATGGATGGGTGGAAGCGTCATGGAAGAAAGTAACAGGGATGGAGGCGCTCATTGAAGTACAGATTCATAGAATCATATAATTGTTTTGATTGGAAAAGACCTTTAAGATCATCGAATCCAACCATCAACCCAGCACTGCCAAGTCTACCCTAAACTATGCCCCTAAGCACCACATCAACTCATCTCTTAAATCCCTCCAGGGATGGTGACTCTACCACGTCCCTGGGCAGCCCGTTTCAACGCCTGATTAGCACATCAGGTAACAGCGAGGGACGGTAAGTGAGTGATGTGACGTAGATGAGTGATAATCTCTAGTGCGCCACACGCTCATGAATGAGATGGTCTTCCTGGTGTAAGCACACCCAGAGCTGGGAAGCTGCCTGGGGCCACAGCGGATTGGGCTGTAGATGTACCTGACTATCAAGGACAAGACATTCCTACACTTGATGGTCAATTAAACATTTTCCAAGCTGTCTCCCATTAGAAATAAGGATTGCAGCAGCCTTAAGAACTAGACACTGCTGCTTTTGCACAAGGCGGATCTCCACATTCGAATAAGAAACCCAACAAAGTCCTATTTTGAATACTGCTAATAGGAAAACCAACCATGAGCACAATTCTTTGCAGGATGGGATATTAAGATGGGTCATTACAACTTGATTTCACAACTGCTAAGGTTCTGCAGGAGTGCAATAGCTCGTGTTTGCTAGTACAAGGTGTGGGAGCCTGGAAACAATGAAAACCAGGCCATGGACGATGACTTGTTTTGAATTAAAATCTGCATGCACAGGGATGACTTTTAGATTTCCATCCACAAAACTTCAACTGACAAACACAAAAAGCATGACTTTCTACATGGGTGAAGGAAGCAAATTAAAAATAGGTTTCTCTCGTAGCTTTTCATTTCTATTTGCAGACCTCCTTTAGAAAAGCAGGTTCTGAGTAAGCAGAATAAAAGGTTCTCAATTCTCTCTCTCAACAAGAGCACATATGAACTTTCTGCAGTATCTGCGTGGCCAAAGATCAAATACAATAGCAATTAACAGTGCCATATTTGACAGCCAATCATTTCAAATAACCAAGAGAAAATAGTTTTTATTTGAAAAGGAGTAAAAGAGTTTGGAACAAAGGGCGAGATTCGCTGTATTTAGCCTCAGTACTCAAAAAGTCAAGGTGACCAAGTTAGTGATTGGAGAGAGCTGTCTTCAAAGAATGATTTGTTGACATCCACCCTGAAGTGGGAAGAATTGCTCTTTGGAGGGCCTCTGGGGAGACCTGAGGTGAGACTCCCCTCTTTCAGGGAGACAATGGTTGTTGAAATACAACCTGTGTGCAGTGCTCATTACATTAAAAATACATAAATGGGTAAATGTTGAAGTTGGAGAGGGAAATTGAGTATCTTCTAGATACAAAGATTTCACAAGTGTTCTTTAGATGAGGATTGAAGCATATATTCTAGAAAGGCTTCAACTCTTGACCTGAATCTCAGCTCTGTTAGCACTTTGTTCTAATCAGTCTCCTGCTCAAAAATGTGTCCCTGGTATTTTTTTGCATTTATTTTTTGCACCATTCATTCTCACAAGTTTTTCTATATTAGAGTGACAGGCTCTATACTAAAAGCAGTAATACAACATTTAGAAAGTCAGGAATTGAGTTAATTCAATAATAGCCAAGCTTATAGGAACAGCTTATCACAAAACTCAGGACTTCAGTGAATAAACATGACATTTTTCATCAAAATGTGGATGGCTGCTTGGAGAAAGACAACAGAAATGAACCATTCAGGTGAATATTTAATTTCTTAAGTTTCTATAGAGTGAGACAAATAATTCAATGAAGCAAAACGATAATTAGAAAAGTACAACTCTCACAATAGAAAAAATCTTTTATCTTCTTCTTTTTTTCCCCAGTCAGTTCCATTTTTTAAGCCTCCTAAATAAAAGATCACACACTGAAGACTTACTTTGCTTTAAGTGTTTCCTCTTGGAAATTCCACTGAGGGTCTTCCACTAGCTGCAGTTCTCGTAAAACACTCCCTGGCTTGTAAGCTGCATTGATCACCATGCTTAGAACCTATCGAGAAACAAAACCAAAACCAAGGATGGGTTTAAAAGTAGTCCTTGACCATACTGAATATAAACACAGGTGCTGCATAGGCAGGAGCAACTTACGGGTGCCAATTTAGGTCCAAGTCTGCACAAAGTGCTAGATGCAATGAGAAGAGGTCCCAGACTGGATCAGTGTGCCAAGCATATTGTAGTCTGATATGGTGACTGCATTAAATGCTGCCCCAAAAATCTCCTATTAATCAATAATTTTTATTTGAGACAGACCCTCTCCCCAAAAGCACATTCCATTCGCTGCCTCCATACTGGCTCAATTTAATAAAAAATTAAATCCCTTCTGATGGCTCAACCAGGTACAAAGTCATGTGTAGCATTACACACTGAACACTAATGGGGAAATGTACATACTTCAGTCAGCAATATGCTCCAGCATCTGAGTGCTGAGTGCCTTGACCGTATTAACAGAATATTAATGATGCCTACACAAATGGAGTTTGCAGGAGGTGTGCCTGAAACCCAGCGTGTGTCCACCCTGTACAACAAAACACATGTGCCAATCCATTTAATCCGAAGTCTCTGAGACTGAAAGTGATTCCTACGATTGGCTCAGGGAATCCAAGCTTTTAATAGTCTACACTTGGCCTAAGGAGACAAATACAAGAAAAGCAAATCTCTTAACAGCACCAGACCATGTGTTTGAACACTCTGCATTGTATGCACATGAATGACCCCACAGTGAGTCTGGATTGATTTTGATATAATTTAGCTCTTTATCTAATGCCTGTTCTTAATTCTTTTAGGCCCTGCAAGTGATTTCAGTATGACAAGCATTAAGTTTCTCCAATACCCATGAACACGGTTCATCAGAAATTAAAAACTGACTAGGTCAGATTGCAAAGAACAAAGTGTTCATATTTGGGAGTTTCTTGTGTTTTTTTTTTCCTGGGCTCTTTTTGTTTTTAAATCCAGCAACATGAGGATTTACTAGCATTTTGAAAACCTTGCCAGATAATGCTGCACAGTACTATGTAAAATGGCAAAAAAAAAAAAAAAAATGTACAAAGTGGTTTGGGTTGCTTGGCTAAGTTATTTACCAGAAGCAAAATTTATTACTGTACCCTTGGAAAAATTACTTGAACTATTTCTCAAAAAAGTACACTTACAGACACCTACAGCACCAACACGTTGTGCAGCTCTGATTATCTGTACATCTCACAGCACTCTATGAGGAAGGGCAGGAGCACACTCCCTATCTCACACCAGGGGAAACTGCAATGCAGATTTACCCACAGCTCTCCAGCTGGTTCCCACCTCATCACACAACCCGTTATACTAAGTACTGAGCCATCCTGATTCCCAAGAGAACAAAAGAAAGCTTCTGAGTGAGCCCACCCAGTTGCTCATCCGCATCTTTTCTTGCCTGTCTCTCACTGCACAAACTGATAGGGCACTGGTCGCTCACACAGAGACGCAGAGACCGAGGGAGGGAAGCCAAAGGTGGGTTTCCAAAAATACCAAGTGCCTGGGTAGCTCCCATGCTCATTCACAGCTCATCAGATGTGTTCCCCTCTGGATCAGAAAATCCAGGGAGCTATTTAATGCTTACTCAGGAGAAAACTCTCCTTATGCACATGTCTACACCCACCCCGCTCACTGGTGAGAAAGTCGGGAGCAGAAAGCGTCTCTTGCTGAGCAATTCCCCCAAACAGTGCTGTCCTGCACCTTTATCAGGGTCATGTCTGTATGAGTTAGGAAACGAGCAAGAAAAGAAAACCCAATCCTGCAAATAACAGTCTGGGCATGTCTGGGCATTATCCCATACACTTAATCAACTCCAGCCCTGCAAAGACACCCATAATACCAGGACTTTTCTCAAAGCTGGCTTGTCACCAGCAGGACTCTGTAAACTTCTAAACTCAGTTAAAAAAAATTAGTGTTTTGTAAGAACAATAATCTCCCTTTAAGGGGAAAAAAATTGTTTTAAAACCTCTGGCTTCTACTCCTCTTGTATCTCAAAAAAGATATACAGCTGTAGGGTTTGGCATTTACCCTACAGCAGAAGTCCATCACCATGTTAATAGTTATCTTTAACAACACTATCACTTCATAATACACACTATTAAACACTAGGAAGAAACAAGAATACCAGTTCTTGTGGAAAAATCAACTGATTAAAACAAAAACAGTGAAGAAACCCAGAACAGTTTCCAACTTCCCAGCATCCAACTTTCTCTGAAGACAAAAAGTTACTTCACCCGTATCAGACTGGACAAATTTTTATCTGATTCATTAAATTCTCTCTGGCTGGAGTGTGACCAGTCTGAGATTTTGGTAGTTTATGTTCAGCCTCCTCCAGCAGGTATGGTCTGGGTGCAGCCAGCAGTGCCTTAGAGCAGAGGGGTGGATTAGACAGCACCAGCATTTGCTGCCACGTCTCTACAGGGTTTTATTTTGATGATGCTGAACTTAGGATTTTCAGAGTCAAGTAGGTTAGTGAGCATGATTGCACAGCACCACCACAAGCCTCTACCCAACCTCAGAAGCACCTGACACCTTAGCTATAATGTTTTCCACAATTCAAGAGCACAAGGGCCCTTTTCTGAACATGTCTAGACCTGCCTGATGTCACTGAGCAGCTCAGCACTTTCCTTCCCATCACAGCCTTTTGGTACTCACACACTTCCCAGTTATGGTTTTTTTACTTGAAATAATTATGTGTCCTGCTGGACAAAGAGAGAATGGAAAAAAAGAGTTATGTGGGATTCTTTCATTAGATGACCAAGGATCTGAAAGTGAGCTTTTGTCATAGTCAAGGCCGTAGCATTTAAGTGCCCAAATGCTTATGACATTTCAAGAATACAGATGTCCAGATCCTAAGCTGGAGGAACTACTACAGATGAGCTGAAGTCCACAGAGTAGTCTTGAGGAGGATGTTAGTGAACCCTCTTGTAGCAATGCAGTTTGTATCTATAGAGGTTTCTGCCGTACCAACAGCGTACCGGATCACTAATGATAACGCCATCAGTCCAGCTCAATCATACACCTAAGGCTCAGTACGAGCTACTTAATTTTCTGAGTACAATGATTTAATTATGCAAATATCTTGTAAGAAGTCATGCTGTGCTCCAAAAAATTCAAGTTGCAGAGTGCAATAGCCTTCCTTCACAAATGTTGTCCGATTTTTCTGGTTTGCATCAGCTGGACAGTCACATTACCTTTAATTCCCTTTTCTCTTTAAATAAAAGCAGAATGTCTTAAAAATAGTTAAGAGCAGTAAGCAATGAAGCTAATTAATCTTTACACCATATAAGATATGGTGGTTTACAGATCATCTGAGGTCTTAAAAAGACACCTCATTTTGTTTTACAATATTGCCGTGATAAGCTGTTGGCACAGGTTGGAACTGTTTAGAAGTGGTTTTTAGATATTCTGATCTAAGAACTAAATCTAAAGCTGACAATGTGTTTATTTTAACTTAAAGTTAGCATTTACTACATAGCTACTATACAGTCACTATTTTTCAGCCCAGATGCAGTTGCTGGATGGCAATAGCTGATGTCTCCACTGTACTTGGCTCCAAGTTTCAACTTCTTTTCCAAACAAGTATCTCGGGAATGAGACAAGCTTTGCAGCTGATGTTAAACAACAGGCATTACCACCTCACTTGCCTCTTGGGGTGAAAGAAACCACAGTAAGTCCCAGTAGAAACTTTTGCTGGCACCAGAAATAATGAACAGCTAGGCTTTAAAAATAAAGCTGGCACTAGATAGCACACAAGCTACTTGTCACTCACCTAAATCTTTGCATGGATGCAAGAACACTCGCACACAAACACATCCAGAATTAAAATCAGCATTTTTGATCATGCTGCCAAATAAGTTGCAATTGCACTCGAGATTCTGCTGGGAAATCTGGCTCAAGGGCTGCCATTCTGAAAGGCACCTTAGCAGTTTCCTCCCTGCAGAGCTCACAGTCTCTGAATCCAACACGAGGACAAAGCAATGGGGCAGAGATCAGGGGGATGCAGTAACGCACAACTCGGCAGAAACGCCTTTTCTGTTGGAAAAGAGGTACTGCACGAAAGCAAACCTATTCGCGCAGCTTCTCTCCTGACACCCCAGGTGAGAATAGACCACACTGTGCAAGTGGAAGGAGATGCTCCTACTCCTCATTACAAGGGTATATCCTAACCTTGTTTAATCCAGAAGCATCAGTACCGATCCATAGCTATCTCACGATTAGCATGCACGCGAGTAGCACCAGTTAGTTTGGAGCTGGATCCAGCATCATGCTTCACTGCATCTGTAATGGAGGTAAGGAATGACAAGACCTTGGGGGAAAAGATGGCTAAGGAAAATCATGAACTACAGCTGTGCTGCATTTTTTGATACAACTCTCATGGTTGTAGAGGAAGGCAGAAGATGGTGAGCTACTCCCTCAGCACCCCACCAGGAGCAAAATTTCCCATCCCCTGGAGTTAGTGGGGAGAGGATATATGTTCTCTTCTTGCTTTAGAGGTAATCCAGGCCAGGGAATGGGGTAGGATGGTCGTCCAGCTGTTTTCAGTCTGGGACATCCATCAGTGCCAAACACAACAGCATCTCCGTCATGGAGACTGCTGCCCAGTGTGAACTGGCTGGCAACCAGCACAGATTTTTAACTAGAGAGTCTCTGAAGGCAGCGATTTATGGCTGGAGACCAGAGTGATTTAAAAAGCTCTCACCCGACTGCTACTGACTCTGCTCTTCCTTCGTAGCTGTTGTTTTGAGTTGTCTTTCCCACCCTCCCCTCTGTGTTGCCAAAGTAAAGCTCATGTATAATTTCTCTATTCCAGACAAGTTACGCTGATGCATAATTTACAATGGCCTGCAATTTTCCTATATAGTGAGAGAGAGATAATTATAATTCATTAGCATTCTTGGGGCCACATCGTCAGCGCGTGTAAACCGAGACACAGGCATCAAGCTCAGCACCGAGACTGGGTTTGGAGGGATGGGGACCCTTGTGAGCTCTGTAGCTGTGGAAAGCCTTGTTGCTGTGGGCTTGTGGTGGAGGAGATATCGCCTGCAGTGTTCTCACCACTTAGCTCTGCAGTCTTTTTGGGTATTCTGGCAGCTGTTACAGACAGAACTTCATCCTGATGCAGGGATGTCTTCCTTCCCACTTCTTGCCTCCTCCAGGAACTGGATGTCCTCATCCTCACCATGGCCCATGGTTTTCTGAGCTGCTCATCTCATCTCATCAGCAGCTCATAGAAACCAGGTGTCTCTCTTCTGCAGCAACACCCTGACTGTCCTCTGTTCACCCTTTCCAGAATTTGGACCTGATCCCCATGGCCAGAATGAGCTTGAATTTATCTGCAAAACAGCACTGAGCAATGCTGGACCATTGCCATTGTCCTGCTCCCTGGGAAGTCATTCCTGTCTCCAAAAGCAAGATGCCCATGTCTCATTGACACTGCTACTTGGTCCTTCAACAAGCAATTGTGTAAGGAGGCACAGCAAGAGAAAATAGGCTTTCTGTAGGAAACTCAGGCTGGTTTCTACAGATGGTAATTGGTCCCATTCTTGAGGAAATTGTAGAAGCTGGTGTTGTTCTATGCAGCAAAGCCCTAAGACACTAGGGAGTACCTGGCAAAAGCTTTGTACTAGTCATGTTTTCAAAATCCAAATTCCAGGAGGAAAGAAGGATGAAACATTAGCATATGTATTAACTGTGGATGCCTCATGTTTCCCCCATGCTGCTTTTTCATTGCCTGTTTTTCAAGTAGCAGCAGATTGCTAACACTCCCCATCAGCACAGCGCTATGGACTTGCTTTCAAATTCGGCAGCTGTCAATTTTTGCTCTGCGACTTTATTTTGCTGTCTGCTGAGGACTATTTTTGACTTGCTTCTTGCAGACCCAAGTGTCCCACCTGCACAGGCATTACTGAGGTCTCTTCACACCCCAGCTTTCATGCATGTGAGACACCCAGCAGTACTGTTGTGTATAAAGCAGTGCACGTGGGTGATGAGGAAGTGAATACACAGGTGATTTGGGAGGAATCTCACCTTGCAGGTGTTTCTGTTAAGGGCTCAGATTCATCTCATTTCAGACAACTGCAAACATCCTGAGCTGGGCACCAAGGGTCTTGCAAATACATCAGACAGAGACCTAGAAATTCCCATGCCTTTCCACCAAAAGCAGAAGGAGCTCAGACATGACCCTGCATCCACATCAAGTAGGATTTGCATAGGTACAGATCAGAAAGCTGGAAGATGTGAATTTCTAGAAGACCCTAGCCAAACTGAAATGATGCCCGAGGCACCACCAACACTCTGCTTATCCAACAGTACCCTCCTGCTGTCCTCTCCTACCTGCAGTCATCTCACCTCTCATCTGTACATGGCCTGTAACGTGGGGAGAAAATTTATGCATTGTTTTCAGATAAGCCAGCTTTTCTCTGAGGACAACAGCAAGTGCTCAACACTCTGGATTTGGCCCAAAGCAAGCACTGATTTGGTCAGGATGGAGTAAACACACAGTGGTGCTCTGCCATCCCTGCTGCGTGGGATTAACCCATCCACATTCAGCAAGAGCTGGGCATGCCACAGCTTCCACTCAGCACATCACACACAGCCCTGCTTGGCCTGCTGTCCTGTTCACTTTGGATCATCCTGGATTGGGCCTCACTGAACCACGGTCACACATACAAAGGTGTCACCCACGCTGAATCTGCTGACCCAACGACATCGTGGATGCTGAGAAACAGGCTGGCAGCAACAACCACAGAGATCCTCTTTGGGGATGGCTCTGGTCAGAACATTATTGGCTTGCACAATAGCCACAGTTAAGATGAAACTTGTTCCCAGCTAACAGAACTCCCCATGTTTCAAAAACATCACCTCTCCCATCAAAACTCGCAATGCATATACCTACCCTCTCTTCCCAGATTGCAGTTCTGACTTATGGAAACTTCTGCAGAGCTCCAGGACAATTTTAGGCACCTTCTTTTCAAATTCTGGGCCTGGCAACCCATGACCCATGTTTGCCCCTGAAGTCCCCCCAAAAGATAGCTGAGCCGTACCTCTTTGAGGACTAGCACGCACTTGCCAGGCCCGACAGACTGAGGTAGCTCTGCTATTCTGCCTTTGTTTAAATATGGACCTGAGAAGCAGCGGTGGTTGATGTAGAGCTGCGGGCAGCAGTATCTCCCATTGATGGTGCCTGCAAGGAGAAAGGAGCATTGATGTGCAGGTAGCACTTCTGCAGAACAAATCAAGGGCCCTTCTTCTTCCTCCCAGATATGCGAAGGAGGGGAGAAGAGCAAAGGAGGCACGAAGATGTCTTCCCTGGGATTGGAGGTAGAGAAGCCTCTGATACTGGATTTGCCCAACACAAGAAAAGCAAGTGCTTTTAATAGCAACTGATTTGGCTGCACACCCTACTGAAAGGAGAGTCGGGAAAGGATTTCATTCGTAACATGACTCGGGGCTCTTTCATAACTCTCAGTGCAGATGGACATGAGCAACTGAAGTGCAACTTGCCAGAAAGGGAACATATTAGCTGCCTCTCACAAATATGGAATGGGCTAAGGGAGAAAATTCAGGTGGACATCTCCACAAAACCCTACTGAGCTACTGTCCAGCCCAGTAAGCACTACAGTGCCATTCCCCTGACCCAACCTGGGTCTACAGAGAAGTTTGCTGTGTCTGGGCTAACTACTCTGGGCTCCTTTATAGCCCATGGAGAGAACTGGGTATTTTTAGATGTGGTTCACGTGTCATCCAAGTGGTTATTCACTTTTTGTCATACCCAAAAAGAGCCTGTTTCCCCCCATTTGATTGTAATGGGGCCCTGGGATGCTGGCTCTGATGCCAGTGTGCTTCCTGCAGTCTGCTGAAATACAGCGAGTTAAATTCTGCTCCTCCTGCAGAGTCTATGCAATTAACTGGATGAATATGGCACTCTCAGAGCCCCCTGCCATTGATAAAGGCCACAAAAATTTGCCTTTAGCAGAAGTAGCAGCCATGCCACACATTCCTGATGCTAACACAGGGACCCATTAAGTCCTGACCTAGGCAATTTCATTGATGCCAATTAAAAAGTTGCTTCCAACTCCACCCGGGCTTCATTAGCCTGGCCCTAACATCGTTAGCTGAAATGGGCAAACTGCAGGGGACCTTCAATAAACCCAGCACGACACGATGCTCACACATGGAGGACCAGACCCTCACATCAGAGACTCCTCAAACTGTTGGTGGGTCCACACCACCTCACACCTCTCGAGGATGTGGTTCTGTCTTCCTCACCCACATGACACATTCAGTCCCTTTTTGGGGTTATCCCACTCCATACAGGCAACAGGTCCTTGAAGTAAGGATCCTGCTGATGCTGAGCAGCCTTACCTGTTGTGTCTGTTTGAGGAACCGGGCAGAGGTCATGAGGTATTTTCTCAACAGGCACTGTGGATGGTAACCTGTTAAACAGTAATTCGGTGTATTTAATAGTGTCAGATGGGGCAAGGGGGCAGAACCAGCCTTCAGGCCAGACTGAGATACACCACGACCTGCCTGGACCAAGGACTGGGGATACTTCCGATGCAATCCCACTTCCACACAGTTTATCATAGCCCAGGGCCTGCATATTGCAGAAGAAGGAGCCAGATTGACCACTTCTCTAAATGTCTGGTCTGTGACCTTCAGCCCTTCAGGCTGCCAATATTCATACTTAGGTCCCTTAAATTCCAGTTTCTAGGAACTGCAAGGAATAGACAGGGAAATGCCCTCCTGGTACATGCCCATCTTCCATGGGCATCCCTTACTGGCCATCAGACACTGGCTACACAGTCCCAGCTAGTGAAATATTTCTATTGCTAAGAATTTCTTATATATTCACTAGAATTTTAGATTTAAAGGAACCCCGTGGCTGACTCTGCTGCAGTATCTGGGCAGTAGTTAGCAAAGTCACTCAGATGCTGTGTATTATCTCCCCTGGAAGACCTGATGCATCCCTGTAAAAATATCACCCTAAATAACAAAAACTTACTGTTTTTCTGGTTGCACAACTGCAATTCTTCTCTTCCTTCGCACTGCAAAAATGAAGCAAGGAAGAAAAAACAGTTTTGTACACTTCTGGCCCATAAAGTATGCCCATAATGCATAAAAAGCCATATAAATGCACTGACTACAAAATGACTTCTAACACAATGAAATGCTACTTAATTACTATCGCCATCTTTCCTTGGTATTTTTTAAGTAAGTCACTACATCATTAAAACCTACTTTAAAGATGTAATAATACATTTAATCTTTCTTCTGGAATGCTAATATTGTGTTTTATGGGATCAGTATAAAAAAATAAAATAAAAACACAAATATTTTTCCATACAGAAACACATATGGATAAGATTACATTTTACAAGCATGATTACCTCCAGCATAATTTATCCCTAGCTATAAATTGCGATAAGGCTGCATAATGTTGCCATAGCAGTATTCTCCCAAATTAGGCCCCGGCTGCCTGATTTTTAACTTAAGCATATTTAACTCTTCAAAAGGGTTGACACATTTTAAAATTCGCCTTTCAGATGTTAATTAATATAAACAGCGAGCTTAATTTTTCGTCTGGTGGCTTGAGATCGGGGCTGGATAGTTTCTGTGAGGAACAGGAGAACAACAATAAGCCACTGAGCACTCATGAACTGCCTTCAAATGCAAATGGAAGGGAAAGAAATTGGTTTTAATACGCACTAGAGGCAGGACAAAATACTATGGGCTTAACTGTGCCAGGAGAAATTTAAATTAAACACTAGGGAAATCTCTGAGCTGCTAAGGGCAGTGAAATAACATAGATGCTGGGAAGTGGTAGAAACTCCATCACAGGAGGCCAGCAAAGATTTCTCATTGTAGATGGAACAGATCTTGGTTTGGAGATGGTGCACCTGGATGGCCTCTTTATGTCCATTCTGCCCTGTATTTTATATATTTTTATTTCCTGATTTGAGTTCCCATGTCCCTAATTCACTCAGCTCCCCGAGTGAATTTGGCTCAGAGCAACATAACATAGTTTCACTCCAACAACTCCATCACAAACCCACAAGCCACAGTGTGCAATCCCAAACCACGTAACAGACTTTCCCAGTGCAAACAATCCCATTTTTAGAGGGACTGATTACACAGACAACTACAAATTGCATAATACCAGTGCTGTGGAGCCTGCTCACTCATTAGATTTATTACAGTACTCCTGTTACTAGTCTGCTAGTTGGGTTGGTAGTTTCAGGAACTGGATTATATGCATATGACAAATTCCCTGATAAGTCCATTGATGTAACAGCAATGCTGCTTGAGGTTTCCAGGTACTTACAAACAGCTTTGTGTGGTGGAGTTAGGTTATAAGCATTCGCTTCACACCAGCCAACGGGGAAAATGTCCATAGATTCTACATCAACTATGTACTCTGGAGAGGGCATCTGTAAACCTATAAACACAAATTTATAATGTAATTTAGACATGGGAATACCGAGCTCAGAGCCATTCGAGTATTCATCATGAACCAAGGGAAGTAAATGATAGAACATGTAAAAATAAATCCACTTCCCCGCATCAAAATCTGGCATCGCTTCATCTTCAATTTTGCACAGACAGCAATGATAAGGCTGTTGCATTTACAGTTCAGTGTGATTCCAGAGAAAACCCCCAAGAGCTCTCTAAAGGTGCAGTCAAAAGCCAGTAAAGGTTAAACATTCACGACTTTCCCCAACAAGATGGCCCAATTGCCCCTTGGGTGTTTTGCAGAGTTGCGCAAGGTAGTTAGCAGAACTTGTCGGTGCTTGCTCTTGCTGGTAAGAGAGTGCACATGGAATGTAACAGGACAGTAGCTAATGTGATGGGCCTTCATGCCCCAATGCCCCCCCGGAACTTCTCTGTGTAGTTCTGCCCTTGAGTCACTGTTTTTAAGGGTGGGGGATGACCACTCTTCTGCCTAGAGATGCCATGAACTCTCCTAGGGCTCCTCACTGCATATGAAACAGAAGCTGATCACCCAACAAGGGAGTATAAAAACCCCGAGTGGGACAGATGCACTAAGATCTCTCACATGGTACAGACTCCAAAACCCCACTGAAAATCTCTGCTTAAAGCAAATCTCTTCCAGTTTGGTTATTATGTCTCCTTTAGAAGACACTCTCCTGACTTGGTTGATGTGTGTCACACTCCAAGCCCATTGCAGCAATCTGCTGGCTTTGAGTTCTTTTGGAAACAACTCTGGATCCTGAGTCAAGACACCATTTAATTACTCCAATTCAAGTCCATCTGTGCTGGCACAGCCTGACCAGCAACTTCACCCCTCTCTGCCATTTCCACTCTAGGACCTCAAGCTCCAGCAACAGCATGAGATGATCTCCTAATAAAAGAGACCAAAGGATCAGCAGCTTCCCCTGCAGCATCCTCGCCTTCGCATCTGTTACAGCATCTTTGCCTCCTGCTTAATGCAGCAGTGTTCGACTGCGCACAGCTAGATGACCACGGGGAACTTCCCACTAATAAATGTTCATCAAGGGCTTGCAGCGTAATTGAAACAGTAATTGAACTTTGTGATGGGAATGGCATGGAGGCTGAGATGCAGCATTTGGATCAATCTTGTCTCTAGTAATAAACTTGCTGTGTTTCGAGAGCGTGTGGTTGTATGAAAACCCAGAGGAAGCAGGAAAATAGGTGCTGGTGCTCACGCTGCTGGAGGAAATAATTAAAAAAATGAAAGCAGGATGTCTGCATAGATTCATGGATGCCTTCATGGTATCCTCTGAGCCTTGAATTGTGTTCACACATTATACATTGAAGACAGAGTCTCTATTTCACTGGGATACGGGGAAGGGAAGAGGATGAGATGAAGGCACATGACACAGGACACAAACGGCTCATACAAGCAGCTGAGACTGAATGTGAGGCCTCAGCAGTTGTCATTCCCTGCAAAAGAACTTCCCCCCATGAGAAAATACCAGGACGTCACTGCTCAGTTCGAACCTGATGAAAGCTGCACTCTCCAGCGGGCAACACAGTTTTGCCTAACGCCACAAATCCAGACAAGGAACTAATGTGAGAAATGCTAAAGCCAGTGGCAAGACACACATGATGGCTGAGAGAATTTGGCTAAGGCTGAGACATTTGGGCTTGTTCATCCTGGAGAACAGATGGCTCCAGGGAGAAGTTAGAGCACCTTCAAGTACCAGAAGGGGCTACAAGGAAGCTGGGAGGGGACTTTTACAAGGGCCTGTAGTGACAGGACAAGGGGGAATGGGTTTAAATTGAAAGAGGGGAGATTTAGATTGGATATCAGGAAGAAATTCTTCCCAGAGAGGGTGGTGAGGCACTCGAACAGGTTGCCCAGAGAAGCTGTGGCTGCTCCATTCCTGGGAGTGTCCAAGGCCAGGCTGGATGAGGCTCGGAGTAACCTGGTCTAGTGGAAGGTGTCCCTGCTCATGGCAGGGGGGTTGGAACCGGATGATCTTTAAGGTCCCTGCCAACCCAAACCATTCTATGGTTCTATGATTCTATAAAGTGAGCAAGTCATGGATCAAGGCCTAAACAGACCAAGAGATCAACACAATCCCCACTGACATTTCAACCAGATCTGTGAAGGTCCATTATTTTCACTACCATAACTGTTCCATGGTGTTATTCTGACCCAAAAAAAAAAGATCAAATGTACCTTCCTGCTTGCAAACAACCATCGATGTGACAAGAAAATTTAGTTTTTAAAGTTCACAGCTGCAGCTGCCCTGACAAGCAGGGAAGCACCATAATGTTGGTTCTACTGCAACACAACTAGTCCTCTTGCAAGACACACTCACAGCTACTCTGTCCTCCCTGGCACTGCTGCTCCCTCTGCAACTGATAACCCTGCCTTCCGCTTCCGACGTCTTACTGCTTCGTTTGGCCTCACTCATAGAAGTGGAAAACAGCTTGTCTGAGACCCATTAGTTTCATTTGCTGCATTTTATGCTGCCATCTTCTCAGACTAAGAAATGTCCATGAGACTTGAGAGGTTAAATGGAAAAGAAGGAGGAGATTGGAAATAGGGTGAGGAAAACTTCCATCTCCTGCTAAAAATCTTGGGCAGAATAGAGCAGCAACTCTGGAAAACTCTCAAAGGGAAAATTATGGAAAAATCTCCCTGGATAAGTGATTAACAAAAGGTTTTTCCTCAAATTCCTAGGCTGTGCAGAGAGTGTACATTATTACTTGTATAAATTCACACCAGAAAGCTTCAGCTTTAAAATCTAAAATGAACCAGTAAAAATTAACAATGCAGATGATGAGTAATAAAGTAGCAGAAAGTGATGGGATGCACACAGCCTCGGATCAGCCCAATGCTTCTTTCCCACCACGGGGGAACTATACTGCTGCTCATTAAATGCTCGCCCTGAAGTTTACGGAGTTTTGCTACTGTACAAAGCGTGATTTATTAAGCAATGTTCCCTCATGTCTAACTCGACGCTGCTTAACTACTGCGTCCTGTTTTATGGCTGCAGTTTGGGCTGTCAAACAGCGAAACTGGGAGGGTAACAATGAAAGCTTCAGATGCCCCCATGATAAATGGTGGGACCCGAGGTCTTCAGTGATGGGCTCCCATGGTAGCTGGGGAGTCTTGCTGCTACCAGAATATAAATAATCAGTTAGAAACAATAGTGTATTAATGGAGTCAGAAAAACATGCCACAGTTCAAGCCACATTTATTTTACAACTCTGCAAGCAGGGTTTTGGTTGAGTTTTTTTAATACCTCGTTTTAGGTTAACACTATGCATACTGTAGTCGTGTATTTCAACAGCAGCAATGACTTCTTTTTTATTTTTGCAGTCTTTTGCATATATTCTTTTTACTACAGATCATTCTATTCCTGGTATGGAGATATAAAGCAAGCATAAAACATCTATATATCAGAACTCAAAAGACAAGGAGATGCACACAGGTTTTTTATGACAAGTTGTAAAAAACATCCTTTAAGAAATTAAAAGAGCAAAAGGCAGGGAGGGGAGCAAGGTGGGAGCATGTGGCACTCTCCCTGCCTCTATCCAGGGTCTTGGAGGACTATTCAATTTAAAAACCCAAGAAACAGCACTTCCTATTCACTATAATGGGCAAAAGTTTACTGAGCATATAGTGGTCAATGTGTATAAAAAGGAAAGGCTAGAGAAAGCACTTTTGTGCTGAGAAAGAAGAACAAAATTAAGAGTGTTTGAGTGAACCACACAAAAAAGCCTTTACAACATGTACCTTCAAGGTGAAGCCACATTAATCGTCCTTTAACTGAGGTGATAGAAGCGACACATATCTCTGCAGGGTTCCTGGGGTTCACTGCCTCCAGCTTCATGTTCTTAGTAAAGCCACGGCTGAAGGATGTCTGAAAGAGTCAAGGACCAACACTGAAGCATGGCACTGCAGCACTGCATGACTTTAATTAGGCTGTCCACTGGGAAGCATAAATTTAGCACAGTTTGCTTTTCACTGGAAGTGCAGGAGACACCGAAGAACACAAACACATCCAGACTGAAAAGGGAGCTGCCCTGGACACCCATATGAAAAAACGACGGCAACAAATCAGGAAGCAATGTATTTCATGGTTTATGACAATCTCTAACTCTCAGAGACCAGGAGGAGGTTACTCCACACCAGCTCCAAGTCTATTTGAATGCTTGCTAGTGATGCATCTGCTGTCCACCCTTGCTGATGGGATATTACACTGAGGGTTCCCAGACCTACAGTGCTTAAGCATCTGTCACCTTGCTAGGAGAATTCTTGTAAAGAAAATAACCCATCTTGCCTAAGACCAGAGAAACTTCTTCACACATTTAGCTGCCCAGGCTGAATGAAACTTGAGAAATTTGAGTAACCTACTCAATTATGTTTTTCTTCACAGAGTATTTTAAGCCCAGTGTACATGGTCCTTCTCTGTAGGCTTCAGACGCAAAAGTTTATTGGTTGCAGGTGGGTGCAGATGGAGCCAGATGTGCTTACTGCTACAGCAGTACCTCTGTACACTTAAATACAGCACGAAAGAAACTGGTCTTTCACAGGCTGTAGCCCTCATTGCCCTCCCACTCTTCTCCAGTGAAGGCAAAGTCAGGCCAGATATTACAGCAATGATCCTCAAAAGAGTGGTCATCACCCTAAGTAAGAAACACAGGACCAAATATGGGCTCATGAGCTGGCAAGAATGCGGCATCTCCCATTGTACTAAGAGTCTGGGAGCCTGGAAGCTGCAGTTCCAATCATTGAGGTTACACTGCTGTAAGCTAATGTATGCCTTGCTTCAGTTTGAGGTTGGCCTGGCCACGTGAGAGCAGCCAGCTGCTGACCAGTCCCTCCTGCTCCTGCCAGAGCCAGGATGGCTCAGCCCTCACTTAACAAACCATGGCTCCTGCTTTTAGCTGCTGCAGGTGATCCCAAGTGCAAGAGAATCCAAGACCTTAAAATCCACCCCAAAATATTCTCCACAAGCCAAGCCTCAAGCTACTCCTCAGCTTTCATCCTTACCCTCTTTCCATTCCAGTGCCCCTCTCCTTTCACTTACGCTCAGTCTCTTCCCAATATCTCCACCACCACTATCCCTAAAATGCACTGACACAATACCTGTGGCCATGCCATGACTTCCTTCGCATTTTCCTCCCTCTGTTCTGCACCACATCAGCTGTGAGTGCTTGCATTTCTCTGTTTGCACACAGCAGCACAAAAAGGTTCCTCCTCTTGGCTGAGATTTTGGCTAATAATAATTAGGATGAGTAATAACTGTCACTGACTCATAATGACACCGATCTCTCACCCTGCAACCCTCTGTGAGTAACTGGAAGCCAGACTCAAATTCAACCCTTCTGCTATTTGTACAGCACCTAGGACCATGGGCGCTTCACCGTGAACAATCACTGGGGGCTCTCTGTGAGTCTAAAAAATTCTGGATTTGGTCTTTTTTTCATCAAGAGGCCTTCCAAGAACGTGCTGCTAGTCTCCATCACTGCTTAGACGGTCACGAGGCTTGCTCAGCACACAGCTCAGCTTCACCCCGTAAAAGCTGACAATGGCCAGGACTGCAGCAAAGCAGGGTGAGTTTGTTTAAATGCCTTTTATGTTGCCTAACAAGGAAACGTCATTCATCATCACACCCGCTCCTTTCATTGCAATTCGGTGCTGGAGGCTAATTTATACAGAATCAATGGCAAAACAGTTAGCTGGGAGTTTATTTTACTAAGCATTTGGCCATGTCAATCCATTTCATAACTGCCTCTCCTTGTTAAATATCGCCCCGGGGAAACAGCTACAGCATATCCACTTGAGCACCACGTCTGGCTGCACTAGGTGGAAGATGTGCTTGCAATACAGCTTTTATCAAAGAGCCACTCACGGCCACGAAACAAATGGACCGACATGCCAGGGAGGTTGTACAAGCAACAACAGCGAGAGTGCATCTCTCTGCAGAGAACAGTGTTATCGAGAGGGAAAGAATAACAGACACATGTTCATCTGATTAATGCTTACTTAAAAAAAAGTTGCTTAGACCTGATTTAATCTTTGGAGGATATTACTCACAGGCTATTCTCAAGGCTGCCAGTGCTGAGAGCATAGATCCATTACTTGACAAAATGAAGAGATATAAAGAAAAGAGAGGGGTCTTGCAGAAGAGAAGAAATGTGACAATTGTCTCACTCTATTGGTGTGATGCAGCATTGTCCAGCTCTTCTCTGCACTTTTCAAAATCCTCGCTTAAAAGTCACTTGAGGCAGAGGGTTTTGCATAGGATGGCACAATAAATAGGTCAAAGAAATCCTAATTCTGATCTGATTCCTGAGTCAAACCCTGTTGATGATACAGGTCTTCTGAATTTATCAATAAAAAAGTGTTCAAGTTCATCAATTCACCATGAAAAGTCAGTTCCAAGCCAAGCTGCCCTTGGGCCACCACAGATGAGGAAGGCCATGCAAAAACATGACTGGTGTCCTGTAAGATTGTTTCCACCCATAAACACACTGTCCCCCCAGCTTGTGACTTCTGAGTACAGCGAAAAGCTTTGTATCTCCTACAGGAACCTGCCTATCCAACATTCACAACACCACTTTATTTTGCAAACCATCCCGCATTCATTTTAGGTACCACCACATTTCCAGCTGTTGAAGGGATCTGAAGAACAGGCCCAGGCTATTGGAAAAGGCAGAAGGCTACACCTGCCTTTCACCAAGCGATCAATACCTGTCAGATCAAGTCACGCTGGACTGTCCTTCCCAGAAAACAGCCTGCAAAAGACCATTTCCAAAGCTCTGACTCTTGATGGCCTCCAGCATAATGATGTGCTGCTCACTCTCACATCACTGTTGCTGTATCAAGAGAGCACATGAACTGTCCTAAACAGCAGAGCATCCATGCAGGTTGATCACTCTTCACACTCTGAGCTCAACAGTTTCAACTGCTGAAATGCTTTCACACTCATTTGGTTTGGTTAAATGTATCCCCCTGGAAACCACAGAAAACACCCAAAATGTGAAAAGGGACAGATGATATCATGCACTTTTTTTTTTAACCTAGTTTATTTTTTTAAATAGCATTTAATTACTTGTAATGGTCAATTGAGATGCTTCTTGTGCTAGGTGCTGTACAAAATCTGAGAGGAGATCGAAATGAATCAGATGAAGACAAGAGTAAGGTAACATTTTTCTCTTTTGGGGATGGAGACCTGAAACACTTCTCCAGCTTCCTTCCTAAGACAGGCTCATGGTTGCCTGGGGGAGCCTCCCAAAACCTCGCTGCAGCTTTGCTGTGCAAGCTATTCTGCTGCCCATGGATCGACATGAGCGACGCAACGCCACAAAGAGAACTTACGTTTCTGAAGCACAGGTGAGGCGCTGCCTCCGCTCCACACTGCTTCTGGTAGTCTGCCCAGTCGAAGTCCTGGCCAGAGTAACCTGCAGGATGGCAGAACAGAAAGCGCCATCAGCCACCACTTCACACCAGACAGTGAGCACAAAATGGGCCCCAGGCAGACGACCATTTGTGTTTTGGCACCCCATCCTGCCTCTGTGTGCAGCACCAGCAGGAAAGCTCTCTGGATCCCTGTCCATACACCACGAGAGCCAATGCCAATGCTCCTCCAGCCCCCCACTCACACACCTTCTGCACTTTGCTTTGAAAACTCCAGGTCTGTGTTAAAAAGTAATAAATCGTATTTTTTTCCCTATTTTCCCTTTCCTGTGAGCATCTCCCAGGCTTTAATAAACCCGTAACTACTGAGAAGTGCTACTGTCCACAATTTCCAGGTGGGGCTGGTCACGGACTTCTTTCTCCTTCCTTTAGCTGTCTCAAAGATGGGATTATGTAGCTGGACATCAAGGGTCCTTCAGCAGTGGACAGAGGACCAGCACAATCAGAAGCTGATCCATCCTTTCTGTTGAAGCATGAGATAAATGCTCCTCTTTCATTAATATGGATTTACACTCCATGACAGTGTACATGAGCTGAATCCTATCATAGCAAGCATGTTATCCAAGGCTGTATAGAAATCTGGGGCAGAGCAGGAAAATGAATGTAGATTTTCCAGACTAAAGTTGCTGCAATTACATGATCCCTTCAGCTTCTGCTTCTAGGAAAACAGGGAAGAAACACTGATTTATATGAGCATCTCTCAGTGCCATCACTGAGAGACAAAACAGACCTCTGCCCAGGGCAGGGCGGTTGGAACTAGATGATCCTTAAGGTCCCTTCCAAACCAAACCGTTCTGTGATTCTATGATTCATCCATTCTTCTTACCTGGCTATTTAGGCAAAAAACTCTTGGGACAGAGGGGGTGGTTTTTGTTTGTTTTTAATTTGCTTTTTCTAGAATTTCTTGTCTGCCTCTTAATCTATATTTTTACAGTGCTTGAAACCAGCGAGTGCTAATCCTGCCCAGGGCCCTGTGATGACACTGCCGATACTCTATTAACATTACTGCAGAACTACTCACACTGTAAAGTTTCAGGAGCCACCTAAAGGCCAAATTCTCCCCTCAATCTCCCCGCCCAGCATCTCAGCTTAGTCTTATTTCACAGAACATCCCTTAATGCCTTTTTCATTGATAGTCAAAAAAGGGATACTCAGGATCAGATGGGAATGAATCATTTATGACAATGAAAACTGAAATTTTTTGTAGGCAAGAAAGGACTGGAATACTGAATGGAGTCCCCGGTAAGTCACCCTGATCCAAATTCAAGGTAAAAATTTTAAAAATAAACTCCCAAGCATCCTGCTAAGATGCAAGTATGTGAGATAAGATGAAGTCCTAATCTTAATGATTGCATATATGACAAACAAATTAATGAGATAAAGCCTTGAGCTAAGATGCCTGTCTCTCTGGGGCATGGAAGTGCATATTAACTGGAAAGCTAGAAATAAACACACACAGGCAAGTAAAAAAAGGGCAATTACTTATAGAGAATGTACATTTTTCATATAAAAAAGAATTATTGCATTGTTTTTTAATAACAAATTTCTGCAACAGCATTTTCCTCCCACTTCTTCTCAATCTCCTTTTCTTCTGTCCAGTTATTCATTTGCCAGATACTTTTCAGCTCCATAAAACAAAATGGAAAACAGGAGAAGTGCACATCATGTCAGAAGGGGATTCACCTGATTGCATACGGATGTTCATAGTGAAGATGCCTATCGCTGTGCCTGTCACCCTAGGTTCCCTAAAGAGTCAACGGAGAAACAGGCAGATCTAGAGCGATCGGTCTGCCCTCCTGCAGAAGGAGCAGAATTGCCCTGTGAAAGTTCCTCTCTCCAATTACTCCAGAAGAATGGATGGGTGTAGATGATGGGCTCAGGTGGGGACAATCACAGCACAGTTGTCTATATCAAATCACCTGTGGTCCACCCCAGCTGCCAGAGCACGTTACCTTCAGGGACCCAAAAACCTGCCCACACCCTGCAGGTTCGCTCATCTCTGATTTAAACCCCTCATGGACAGGTTTGGAATCTTAATTGCAAGCTACCCAAAATCTTGGCAGAGTGGATGGAAAAGGCGCATTGACAAGGTTTCGGCGTGGTATAAAAACCTGACCGTGTTGTCACCGCACAACCACCTGTGGGCTTGGCCCTGCACAACTGAAATCGCTGGAAGACCTTTTGCTGTAGACTTCAGCTGGAATGAACCTGGGAGAGCACTTACAGAGTTTGCCATAACTCACATCAGCAGCTCAATGAGGATGACTCCAAGAGGAGCATACCCAGGAATTGGCTTCAAACAAGCGTGCACCTGTATATGGCCTTTTCATGGGGCATCATGATACAAGCTACCTCCCTTAGCCCATGGGGAGGTATCATGTACCTAGTACCTCCATTAGCACATGGCATTCACATACTGTTTTCCTTTAAGACTCAGACCAAGTAATAACATTCAAAGCTTGGCTTGCTTCAACTCAATTCAACAGCCACTCCTCAAACACGTAAAACCTGTGTTTGCTATCTCAGCTCTCAGCATGGAAGAGCCCAGCAGCCTAATCAGAAACAAATACAACAATACAAATGTATTGCAGGTTTTGGAAGTGGCATTTCCTTAGTAAGCCTTACAACTAGGAGTGCTACTGAAATGTTTTTCCCCCCTCTTAACAGCTCATAAAAAGGAACAATGGTTGTTACTCTAAAGGGAAGTGGTCTATAAATCCAGCTCTAATAAATATAAACAGCACTTGTTCAATGCTTATATAGCAGTAGTAAATGGGTATTCATTTTTGGCACTGTACAGGAAAATACCACTCTCTATTTCTAGTAGCAAATGTTTGCACCTCCTGTTCATGACTCATCTACTGTATGTTTGGCTTCAACAAAGGCCTGATAGGCAAAAAGGTGAGAGGAAGGATATCAGAGAAATAAAGGACTATGAACCCAAATACCCCAACATGAGCATACTGTTCTGATTAAATAAAATCAGTTATTTTTAAAATCAGAAAACTTCCGTGTCAACAACAAATTAAACAAATAAACCCAAGCAAAGAAATATAATTTAGCAAAGAAACACTTCACTAAAAGAAAAAGGACTTTTACATTGTTACCTTTTGATGCTTGGGAACTTCAGCAGGGAGAGCCATTTGGGCAACACTAAATACTGCCAACACAGTCTCTGTTAAGGGCGATCAGAGGGCTGGAGCCCCTCTGCTATGGGGACCGGCTGAGAGAGTTGGGCTTGTTCAGCCTGGAGAAGGCTCCAGGGAGACCTTATTGCAGCCTTCCAGTACCTGAAGGGGCTACAACGAAGCTGGGGGGGACTTTTTACAAGGGCCTGTAGTGACAGGACAAGGGGTAATGAGTTTAAATTGAAATCAGGGAGGTTTAGATTGGATATCAGGAAGAAATGCTTCCCAGAGAGGCCAGTGAAGCACTGGGACAGGAAGCCCAGAGAGGCTGTGGATGCCCCATCCCTGGAAGTGTTCAGGGCCAGGCTGGATGAGGCTTTGAGCCACCTGGTCTAGTGGAAGGTGTCCCTGCCCATGGCAGGGGGGGTGGGACTAGATGATCTTTAAGGTCCCTTCCAACCCAAACCATTCTGTGATTCTACGATGGTGGTTGGGAATGTGTGAGCACTGGGGAAGCAGGAGGCTGGTCAAATCTGTGTGCAAGAAGGGGCAACTAGGGACACCTGAGGGCAAGTAGAGCTGTCCAGTGACTTGGCTGGAAATTGTGAGAATCCCTCCTCCTTCTGGAGATCTTTTCATCAGCAGCCAGCTCACACCACAGCCTTCCTCACTTTCACAACATTCCAGTCCTCTCATATCAGTCCCAGTTATTTCTTTACCCAAAGCTGATACTGCTCTGCTCACAGAAGACTGGTTCCCTCAATGGGGGTTTGGATGCCTTTTACTTTCCCTCTGCTTTCTCTTTTGGTAGTTTATGTTTTTTGTCCTTTGCTGTTGGGTTTTTTTTAAGAAATTGTTCCAATGTCTGATTACATTTTAGTGACTCAAAGAACGTGTCTGCCGATGGAAGAGGTTTTTGACACCCAAGATGCAAAGATGCAGTTTGGGCATGCAGCCCTCATACACAGTCTAAGAAATACAGCGATATATAGCACGCATCTGTCTGCTACTTGTTTTATTCCCTCCAGGATTTCTGATCTGATAGCAGAAAGAAAACATTATTCTCATTAAGGGAATGAAGAGAGACTTCCTACACTTTCTCAGGAGCCCAGATGGACCCCAATCACCAGATATCACACCAGATACCTACTTGCCCCTTAGATTTCACTGGCCAAGCTGAGAAATATCCATGTATCAGATGCTTCAGCCACTCGTATAAATGCCGGCATCTAAAAGAGAGTTGGCATGCACTTGACCTGTAAAACACTATCTCAGACAGGCTTTGTACCAGCACAGACTGGAAACTATTAGGCCATGACCCTGTAAAGAGAAATGTCTGGCCTATGGTCTACTTTAGTTAATTAGCTGGCATGGGAGAAGCTGCATGTGAATTTGGGGTGGGAAAAACAAAACATTCCATTTATTTTAATTTTTAGCAACTTTTCTGGGCAATATCAGTGAGGAGTTACACAGGCATTATCATTACACCTGGATTTAAGCAGGAGAGAACTAAAGCATCCAGCACATTTATTTCAGTAAAAGCAAGAGTAAACATGGATGCAGCTGCAACCACAGGACTCCAGGACTTTGGTGGGAATTTCAAATTACACGTGCTGAAAAGACTCTCTGGACACACATAAGAGGACTCTGAATCTGGTACAGAATAACCCTTCGCTTCCCTGGGTTTGGCAGAAGCATACTTTTTCCAAAATTAAGACAAATCTGCACGTGCAAAACTTAGTGGGATTTTTTAATTATTTATTTTTATTTTTATTTGAGGCATTTCTTTTTCTTCCAAGCAACACCAAGTTTTGGCAAAGGGTCAACATCCCAGGCAGCTTCAAAAATCTAGAATTCCAGAGAACCAACACATTTTGCAAGCAAAGAAATATTGCTAGGGCACTGCAGGTGGTTGTCTGAAATTGCAAGTAATTAACTGCACTGCTATGAAGCTGGGAAATAGCACAGTTGGAGGCTGTTTCTCCTGGTTCTGACCTGAATGCTGCTCACAATTTGCCCTCGCCTGGGATTTTCTGAGACAGCTAAAGAAATGCCTACATGCTCCTGGGCAGGCAACTATGAGTTTAGGTGGTGGTGCACAAGGTGATTTCAGTACAGAAGACATTTAGATCTAGTAACTTTGTGGGCTGAGCATTGTACCCATGTGGATGCCTGGTTTGCCTCTAGTATGATACAACTTTTAATGCTCCTTTTGCTCTCCACACACATGAAGCATCGCCAAGATGTATTTTACAGGAATTCACTAGACTTTGGTGAAGTTTGCTTCCAGACTACAAAGTTCACAGATATCAATCCACCAATGAGACACATTTGCAAAGATGTTCATGGGATGGTATGAGCCAGAAAAGCCCCAGTGAGTCAAAAGCTACTTTGGCTCAAGATACTTAGGGTGATGCTCTGCAGCAAACAGCATCATGGTTTTAAAGACGATGAGTCTTGGAGCAACCTGGTCTAGTGGAAGGTGTCCCTGCCCATGGCAGGGGGGTTGGAACTGGATGGTCTTTAAGGTCTCTTCCAACCCTAACCATTCTATGATTCTATGATTTTATATCAAGCAAACTTCTTTCAGAGGAAACCCGCAAATCACCATGATGGAATACAAACCCTTGGGAGGTGTGAGATTGACTCCGTTTTTAAGGCACCACTGTACTGGCAAGATCCCTAAGGAATCCGCATGGCAAAGCATTGAGATTTTGCTGGGTTCAGGTCTCAAGTCATCAATGGTCACTTGTAAATAATGATTGTTAAAAACCTGAGGGGTGAAAAAGAAGAAAAAAAAGTCAGAAGTTAAATTTGCTGTAACATTAGGTAACGTGGAAAGGTGAAACAGCAGGCCTTGGAATCAAACTACTCCTGAAAATAACCCACTCTCACCCAACAGTTTTCATCAAAGTCTTTCTACCAAAGAGATCAAAGCTTGAGTTTTAGAGATGGGTAAACTGAGGCAACAGAAAGTTCTGGGGTTCAGGGTCACTCAGTGTATCCATAGCTGAGCAGGGACTTGAGACGATCCTGGAAACCCTGCAGCCTTCCTCTCTTTCACATTTGAGAATGTCGATTAAACATCCAGCTACTACCTCCATGCAGCTGTTTTATTTCAAAAGGTTTCCCAGATGTGCAAGGAGACACATATAAAAGTGGGTTCCCTTTAGTTTTGCACAGAAGTGGTAGATGGACATGCTCATCCCCATTGGATTAGCATATAGACAGCCAGTGATGTTTGTGGGAAAATAACAATTCATTAATTAGGATCATCCATGGATTTTAAACATATTTATTATAGTGTGTTCTCCAGCCAATGAAGTACCACTCTTGAGTTCTCCTAAATGTGGTGGAAACCAGTAACAGGTCCCTAATCAGGCTCTTTGCAACCTTCCTTTCTGGGAGCTCACCTTGCTCACTGATGCAGGACAGAGATGAAACGGCTCCCTCACATTCACTGCCTCCAGCTTCATCCCCACACTAAAGAAGTGGTTTCGCAAATCAGCATGGTCCTACGGGAAGAGATGGGGAAGAGGAAGACACAGAGGGTCAGCACCGCCGACCAAGGAGGGGGTGAGACATCTGAAGATCTACTTGAAATGTGTCCATGGGCGGGTTTGTCACTTAGCTGATCGTCAGTTTAACTTCCAGCTCCAACTTGGTGGTCCTGGTCCTATGGATACACACAGCTCAGGATGGCCCTGATTTACCCTGATGGATGTCCAGCTCCCGCAGGGCACCAAAGTAAGTATCTGGGATGGTTTCCATGTGCTGCCAGATGGGAAAGTCTTTTCTCCAACCAGGAGACTAAAGGTGGACTAAGGCCCAGACAATGAACTCGGACCCCAAATGTAAGCAACAAGAGCACATGTCGGTGGGAAAACACGCAGCTGTGTTCAAGTACAAGTCCACCACAACACTTGCGTCTGGGATCAAATCTGGCTGCACCGTGTTCCACACAGCCACGTTGGGGACGGCAGCAGGATGCAGTCCCAAAACTCAAGAGGCAACCCAGGTTCAACTCCCTGACCGGCCACTCATTTATTTCATCCATCAAATTACTGGCCACTCATTTTTTTTTTTTTTTAACATCCATCAAATTACTCCATCCCTCATGATCCCTGTCTAATAGGTGTACAAGCTGGCATCCTAATTCCAGAGTAACGATCATGTTTTGTGTTCATTCAACAAAAAATGTCCTACAGTATTTCTAAACCATCTGTGCATTAACCAATACAAGCCTAAAAGGAGATAATGTTATATTTAACACACACATACAGATGACTCCACAATACATGCGTAACGCTTGCTATCTAATAAGTAGTTAGTAATGTCATTCCATCTACTGCTCATGTTGTATTCCTGTTCTGAAATGATTTTCTATTGATCCAAACTTGTATGTCATTGTGCTTTCTTTTCCCAAGAACTGTCTTCACTTGTAAACTTAATAACTTCTATTTTGGGATCTTACATTCCTACTGCTATTAGAGAATCAGGATTTTTAGAAGCTCCAACCATGGCTAAATGAATTTTTGTTGTCATCTTACCAACCCACAATGTTACAGGGCCTTTTATGAACGAAAAAGCAGTCTAAAAAATTCATAATGGATTTAGCCTCATAGCAGGAGAAGTATATACCGATGGGGAAACTGAGGAAGATTTAGCAATAATGGCCCAAAGCCCAGTGAACTAATGACTGAGGAAGGAGCAGCCACTCAGGAGTCTGGGCATCCTGCAGTGCAGCATAACCATCAGTCATACTTGCGCTTGCTGGCAGTTGCTTCCGTACCCCTAAAGCCCCAGAGATAGGAGACCCATTTCTAGCAGCTTTACACAGAGAATGTTTCATTTCTTTAAAGTCTGAACCAGGGAAGAGAATCTGGCTCCTTGTGTACAGAGGTTGCCTAGTACCAGGGATGCATCAGATGGACAGGTTATCAAAAACTGCCACCTTTAATACTGAAAAAGCTTTAGCTGGGAAAAGACGATGGGTGCAAAAATCAGACCTCACCAGCACTAAACTTCAGATGTCCAAAGGCAAAAAGTAGGAGGGCTGTCTACTCGTGCATGAGGATCCACACCCGGCATCTCTTAATCCTTTGGGTGAGGTTGTAAAGCAAAGGCAACTTTGCAAAATGTACATCTGGCAGCAAGTTTACACTGCAGCATCTTCCCATCAAAAGTTCCCTGATTCAATTCGCACTCGCATCCAGCTCCAACACATAATAAGCCAAGATCCACCAAAGTACTGAATCATGTTTATCTTTAAACATCAAGTAGTTTCATCAACTTTTTAAGTGATTTTTTGATTGAGACTAAAATATATCAAGACCAAACCGTATTGCTTCTCATTTTTATTTGACTCATCATCTTCAGTTCTTCTCCTTCTATTTGTTTTGGTCTTTTTCAAAGGGAAAAAAAATAATCAGGTAGGGTGAAAAAAAGCTAGTAACATTTAAAGCTATTTTACTTCAAAAGCATATCCCTTTTTCTCCACAGACTATGCACCTTCGGATCAAATTTCCCTTTTCATGCAGTGTAGCATGTAAATATCTTCCCCATTAAATTAATAGCAAGAGCGAACTTGCAAGGGGAGTTCATGGGATCTCGGGTACGTCTCCCTTTTGAGGGTCAAAATCCTTGAATGTACATTTGTTTGGAGAAGGGCTGTGGAAGTAAAAAGCTTGTCTGTGTTAAATGTCATTTTTGAGATGGAAAAGCTTTCATGGAGAAAAAGCCTTTGTATCGTACCTCTCTGGCAAATGGTCAGGGTCCGGCTATTTGATCTCTCTCATATATTTGCTGAAGAGAGGCATCAAAATTTACCGAGGCAGCCTTAGATTTTTGCAGCCACAAAAGGAAAAAAAAAAAGATCCTGATGTCATTCTCTGGTTCCAGTGCTGGAGTTGCCACAGCCAGCAGGGAATTACTCAGGATTTGGCATATGGTCCTCTTCAAAACTCCAATTAATTTACATAATTTCTAAGAAAAGGTTCCACAGAAGTGAAGGCAAAGCTTTTAATTAGTATTAGACTCAAAGTGATACACTGGATAATGAACTGCTCTCTCCTCCCTCTATTCACATTGACAGGAAAGATGCCTGTTTAATAAAAGCAGCTACAAGAAGAGAACTGAAGGGGTGAGACTTTCCCCTGGTCCCCACCAGGCTCTGCAGCTGAGCAAAAGAAATGTCTGAAATTATTATGGGTGGCAGAATTCAACACTCTACCACTATTTCACAGTGTTCAAAGCCACCTACGAGGATGTCACCAGCCACTATTTTCTAGCAACCTCCGAGTGAGGCTTTTTTGGAAAAGATGATGAATAGACAGAATATTTTTGACCAGTTGGAACGTTTTATAGCCTCGTGCACAGTGAATTTTTACTCCTACTGGCAGTGAATGCTTCCCAGGAGCAGCCCCACTGCCCACACAGATTTACACCAGCAGATTGCCTGTCCTGGGGTTCACAAGCCTGGCGTAGGCAATGGAAATACCCTGACTGCTGGGAAGCAGTTAAGTAAGCTGGATCGAGAATCCACAAGAATGCAGAAGAGTCCCTTACAGAAAAGTGAAAAATCACGCGATGGAAAATACAATGAATTAACGTGGTACAAGCGCCACAGTCACTCATTCAAAGGGTCACAATCTCTAACATGATGGATTACAGGCTGTGACGGCACTCACGGGTAATGAATGGAAAATTGCATAACCCTCCACTGAACGTCTGTCACTTACAGCCCAAACCCGCTGGCAAAAGCCAGGGCTGTCAGAGGTCTTACTACAAACCCCAAGAAGCAATTAAACTCAGCCCCACACTCACTGTTTCAGGGCAGTATGTACTTGCAAATTTGCCAGCGTGCGCAGGCTGCAACCCTCCAGGCCACCTGAAAGACAGCACCACTTCGATACGCATCTGCATCATTATCCCCATCTTCGTACGACGTGTGTTTCTGCAACCCTCCTGCAAAAACACTGATGGGCTTTGCAACAGCTCACTGCAACCAGCATCACCTGCGGGGCTGAAAGCTGGAACGTCTGAAGGTCAAACGAGTCAGTAACGGTGCTGGAAGGAGAACATGGCTCCCAGTTCCCAACCCTCTTCTTCAGTTACTAAGATAGTTGCCTAATTTTCTCCTTCACAGCTAACGAGCCACTAGCAGTGCAGGTTTCAAAAATGTCAGGTGACCGGGGAGCCTAAACGTTATTCCAAAAGAGATCCACAAACCGATTTCCGAAAGTATGCAGATTCTTATGGATGCAGACAGGCTTTAGGGATGTACCCGTGTAGGCAACATGCTTAAGTCCTAGTAACAAAGTCACTAAGCATTTGCTTTAGGTCTTGAACTCGAAAAGATATACTTCAAAATCATCACAGTCACTTGCCCCTTCTGGTGCCTAAATACCAGGCTAAATCTGGCTTCTGAGTGTTTCTACTCAACAAATGTCATTTAAGTGTAAATAAACTCAAATTTCTCTGTGTCACAGCAGCGTTCTGGCCACCGAAGGGTAGAGCTCGGAAGATTTTACAGTGCACTGGGTAATGCAGATAGAGCAGAGGGACGTGGCTAAGCTGCTTTTGCCCATGACATTCAGGGAAGCCGTACTGTGGGCTGGTTGCTCTAGCTGGGTCCACAAACCCAAGGAAGGCCATCGCCTTCAGATCGTGAAATGCTCATTTTCAGTCCATTACACTCAAGACAGAACACTGGAATCATCTCATTTTAAACCCAGAAGCTTACACAGTGTATAGATAAGAGGAAAAGGCTCTAATTTGAACTCTGATTTCCAAATACCCTAGAAGTCAGTGCTCTTTTGGTCCAGAAGAGTCAGATTCACACCAATTACAAGACTGCAACTTCGTGCAAAATTCAGAATGCTGAAATGTTGCAAAGTTGAGAGGCTGATTAGAAGCACTAAACACTTAACAAATGATTGACCCCAGCCTCCTTTAATCCTCACCAACCCTAACAGTGTGAAATGCTATTGCCTGCAGTCACATCTCTCCTGGTTTACCCTACTAAAAGACACAGAAGAAGTGGGCCCCATCTGGTATGATTGGAAACATATTATTTTATTCAGTTTTTGTTTTCAAAGAAATCGCTTCCCCCAGTGTTTTCTCTAATTCTCCAAGAAACTGGCTGCTTCTAATGGCCTAATTTTAATCACAAAGCTCATGTGTGGTAACCAGCCACAAACACAGTAATAGCAGTGGTTAAACTGCCTCTACAGGAATCTGGCATTTGTTTTTTAATTGAGGAAAAGAAAAACAATAAAGAAACTCTCCCAAATACAATCCTCTGCATTATTTGCAGATGAATCAGTCTTGTTTGTGATTCATCAATTTCCTTTGCTAAACACGGAGCAATTTTCCCTAAAGACACACTTTCTGCAGGGAGACAAAAATCCCTTGGTAAGACAAAACACAAGCAAATTGTCCCTCGGTTTGACAAGCGCAGACATGGGAGGACCAAAATGTAGAGATGTGGGGTGGGATGAAGAGGAAAGGGTGC